TCATCTTTGAGTAAATCGGCGCTACTGCAGTAACGATAGGCCCTGTGGAAAAGGGTCCGAACACAGCTTCTTTTATGGGCTGCTGGGTGGTTACTCTGATAGCTCAGGATGATCTCAGCGTCAGAGCTTTTCCGATGAACGCCTGTTGCGATGCCGCCGTCACTGAGCTTTTGTATGCTCACGTCTAGGAATGGGAGGGTGCCTCCTTTTGCATCTTCACGAGTGAATTGTAATGCTGGGAAGGCGCCACTCAAGCTCCAGTGAAATCGCTCAACTTCACAGGTCTTAACGATGACAAATGTGTCATCTACGTATCTGAGCCACGTTTTTGGTTGAAACTTTGCACAACATCTTGTTCTAGTCGTTGTAAGACTAGTTCTGCAAGTAGCCCCGAAATTGGCGAACCCATTGGGGTGCCCTTAACCTGCTGGTAGTATTTGCCATCGAATTGGCAATAGTTATTGAGGCAGAGCTTAAGAAATTCTAGAACGTGATGTGTTGGAAGGTCGATGGGATTGTCTCGTAAGCGATGGGCCACGCTCTCAATGGCAAGGTCATGTGGTATTGAGGAAAACAATGCGACAACATCAAATGATAGAATACTTTCATCAGGACTTACTTTAAGACCTTCAATCCTTTGAAGGAATGCCTGAGAATTTGTGATGCTGTATTGTGATCCATCAGCGAGGTGCTTCAGATGCCTGTAAAGCCATTTGGCTAGGTTGTAAGTGGGCAACCCGATGAGTGGCACTATTATCCTCAATGGTGCATCTGGTTTGTGCACTTTTGGAAGGCCATAGGCATGCGCGATACGGGGGTCAGTGAGAGTCATGAATTTGGAGTCATTCGGGTTAATCAGCTTCAGTCGAGCGAGTTCATTCACCTTCTTCTTTATAACCGCGGCCTGCTTCTTCCTCGGGTCCTCAGCGAGTGGTGCGTAAGCTTCCCTGTCATCAAAGATAGTGTTTGCTTTTCGAACATAATCAGCCTTGTCCATGATGACGGTTGCGCCTCCTTTGTCAGCAGGTACAACCACGATACTGTCATCAGTCTTCAGAGATCGCAACCCTTTTTCTTCATCGATGGTCAAGTTACGGTGACGTTTCCTTTGTCGAAGAAGACCACTGGCACAACTGCGTATGTCCGCACGCACGTCTTCGGGGATAGCAGAAGCCAGTAGGACGGATTCAAGACTCGCTAGGAAGTTTGTTGGTGCTGCATCGGTATGATTGAATTTAAGTCCTTTAGACAGTAGGCTTATCTCGGCGGGTGTTAGACTCCTTTTCGAAAGGTTAACGACTCTCGCAGACATGATGCACTTGTCGGTAGGACAGAGAAGGGATTGCAGTTTATCATTCAACTCGGCTCGCTTCTTCATTCTGGCATCTGTTGAGGTCGCATTTATACGTTGTAGTATGGCTTCGAAGATATCTTCAGGTAAGGATGAAAGGCACTGGTTCTTAGGGTGGGAGATTATTGTCTCAAATCTAGAAAGTCGGTGGTGCACGTCTGATATAATGGCACTCAAAACACGGAATCCGTATTTGCGTGCGAGTAGCCTTCCTGTCTCATTTGGTAGAGTGGGCTTGAAGCGAAGGGACTTCGGTAGGATGCCATGATCGCGACAGCGGTGAAGGAAAGTCAGTTGCTCGGATGTCGTCGCCTGTCTCTGTGAGAATTTCTCCCATCGTCTGGTAATAATAAGCGTATGACGCCCAAAATTATGATGAATAATGGAGGTAGTATGCATTCCGAGGCGATATAATAAAAGAAGAAGGCTCGTCGGAAAATCGAGGTATACTCGTGAATTTTCAAGTCGGTTACACCAACCCGTCGTCAGACGAAAATGAAAAGTGTGAGGGAGATAATCCTACTGGGGAGTCAGGGGGACATCGAGGTCACATCGACCAGACAGGCGTTTATGTGTGGGGGTGAAGAACGTGTTTGTATAGGTGGCGGACGTAAGGGGTGGTGTTGGGGGTTTCACACATGGTTCACTCTGTGGGGGAGGTGCTGAATCCATGATATTCTACATGGCCGAACATGGATTAGCAGTTGGTGGCTTAGGGTGGGCGCAAGCTGGCGAACCGTGAACGTAAGCCTTCGCATTGAGCGTCCAAGTCGACATGGCGGTTGATGCTATTGCTATTAGAGTGCCAAGCTTCTAGAAACTCTCGCGCTTGTTTGGTGTTGGCACTAGCGATCACTTCGGTCCCCTCCCAGTTGAAGCGGTGATCACACTCAAGGGAGTGCGCAAACACGAGAGACAAGGGGTCCCGCCGGCGGATGGCCAGCTTATGTTCGTTAATGCGGGTCCCAAGTCGTCGGCCGGTATGCCCAACATAAACGCTAGAGCAGTTTGAACATGGAATGCGGTAAATGACATTTGTTTGCTGCTCCTTCGGTATGGGGTCTTTTACCCGGGATAATGTCGTGCGCAATGAAGACGCCGGTTTGTGGGCGATGGAGATGCCGAATCGATTTAATTGTCGAGCGATCGCTTCGGAAATTCTTGGCATGTAGGGCAGGGAATAGAATTTCCGTGATACTCTGTCTCCGTTAGAGTCGACATTTTGTGGTTGTTGTTGACGTCTGAGACAATTTTTCACAAAGCTCGCCGGGTATCCATTGAGTCGGAAAAAGCGATGCAAGTAGGTCAGTTCATCTTTGAGTAAATCGGCGCTACTGCAGTAACGATAGGCCCTGTGGAAAAGGGTCCGAACACAGCTTCTTTTATGGGCTGCTGTGTCTTAAGGGCTCTCTCTCGAGCCCAACATGCAGCCGCACAGCGGCGCATGATATATAGGCAGAATGACATTACCAACAAAGACAAGGGAGACTGGAATGTGCATTTCTGGCTTATTAGCCGTCATCAGCCAGCCATATGATTGAATAAATACCCGATCTGCAGCGACAGAGAATGACAGGTGGCGAGGCATTGATGAACCATGGTTCGTGAAAGTGCTTATGACCCATCTGGTAGGCCTCAGTGGCAAACCGACTGCGCCAGGTGCGTCTGTGCGCATGTTTCTGTTTCTGGTCCCAGCTGCTGGTGGTCAGGGTTATGATTGGCTGAATGAAGGCATAATAAGCCCGAAACAGTACTGTATCAATCTACCCGCATTCTCTGTCGTCCCTCCCCGCTGTTATTATGACTTGGCCGAATTCGGCCTGTTAATTGGTTGCCTGATCGTGAACTTTGCCACCCATTTCGAACGCTCAAAATAAGGCTTTTTGGGGCACATGCACATAAAAGATCTTCGGATAAATATTGGCGTCACATATGGTTTGCACATACTCCGTCTTCTTTTTTTCCACCCGCGTTATCATCGCAGTGTATTTGAACGAGTTATAAGATGGTCCTGACACATCTGCCTTTGTAAAAGACGCTATTGGATGGGACCAGTTTCGGTCGTCTTACGGTAAACCGTTGTCCGAATCAGCGGTCAGAAATTTGAGGCGCCGAAACAGCCATCTTGCCAGTCCGTACGTTGGAGTGCCTTTCAGCGAAACAATGGGCCGGAGAGGAGCGCCCTCCTTGTGCACCTTTGGGAGACAATAGAATCGGGCCAAAGCCGTTTCTTGGGCTCTCGCCCTGCGTCAGTCGGTCGCTGTTATTGCACCCGAGTTCTCCAGTGCCAACAGTGTTGCATTTATTTCGCGTGTCAACGTTTTTATGGGGTTGGTTTCACATGGGACATAGAATTGGCGATCCTCCAGTAGGTTTTTGGCCTTCTGAAGGTAGTCTGTTCTGTCCAGTACGACGGTGGAACGCCCCTTGTCCGCGGGCACAATGATGATGACCTTGTCGGCCTTGAGTTCTCTTAGTGCATCGCGTTCGAACTTTGTGAGTGTTTCGCGCGGCTTGTGAGTCATAAGGAGGGACGTAACTTGGTGTCGGATAAGGCTCTACGTCTCCTCCGTCTCTACGGTCACCATAGACCGAAATTCTGGGCTCGGTATGTGGACGATACCTTCGTCGTCATCGAACGGGATCAGGTGCTAACGTTCAAAGAACGTCTCAACAGCGTCTTCCCGGACATACAATTCACGATGGAGGAGGAAGAGAATAACCAGCTTGCATTCCTTGATGTCCTCGTCTGTCGCAAAGATTGTGGTGGCCTAAAGACCAACGTGTTCAGAGAAGCAACGAACACGACACAAATTCTGAACTTCAACAGTAACCACCCAATCTGCCACAAACGCAGTTGCGTAAGAACGCTATTTCAGCGTGTTGAGACGCACTGCAGTGAACCGGAAGACAAGGTTGCCGAATCCCAATATCTTCGACGGGTTTTCCGAGAAAACGTTTACCCGCGCAACTTCGTCAACCAGTGTCTGCGCAAACGAGACGAGCGACAAAATCGCGCCGAATCGAAATTCTGGCGAGCGATCCCGTACATCAAGAACGTCTCCGAGGCCGTTTGCCGCCTTCTTGCACCACTTGGGGTTGGAGTTGCGCACAGACCGGAGGCCACCATGAGGCGTCAAGTGATGAGACCAAAAGACCCACTACCACGGCAGGAAACATCTGGAGTTGTTTACCGGATCTGGTGCAGGTGCGGACAAAGCAACTACGTCGGAGAAACTGGAAGACTGCTCCGGACGCGAATCGCCGAACACGTGGCAGCTGTACGGAGAAATGACGCCAACTCTCAGGTCGCGGCCCATTCGACGAGACCCGGCCACACATTCAAGTTCGATGAGGCCGAAATCCTTGCGAGAGGGGATAATCGCGTGAGCCGCGAGTTGCTTGACTCATGGTTCACGGGACCTCAGTCTATCAACAAGAGCAACGACATCCCCACTCCATATTCTGTCCTGAGGCATAGACTGGCCAAAGCAATTGACCACTCGAGGAGCGCGCAAGCACGTGAGCCAGATGGCCGAGCAATCATCACGCCAGCAACCAACACGGGTGATGAGATGTCAGCCATTAACAACTTGCATGCCGGCCATCAAGCAATTAGCGCACCAGCGGGCAACAATCCTTGATGAAGGGAGCACGGTTAATTGCTGTAGGTATGCGGTAGCATGGCGACCGCATCCTATAAATACTGCGACTTCCTGTACACTAGCCACCCTTTTCTGCAACTTTCTCTGATGATGGATTCAAGAGAGAATTCGAAACGTCAGGCGAATAAAGCCATTGTTTCAGCGATCGCTTCTTCTTCTGATCAATTGCTCCTTTTGTTTGTGACCAACGTGTCGTCGACGTACCTGGCGCAGAGCTTCCGGTGTACGAGCTTAAAACCAGATATTCGAGCATATGCAAAAATCTCTGGGAAATTAGTGCAGACAAGCGCGAATCTATCAACTCCCCCTCCGTTTGCTTGTAGACATAGCCGTTGAACGTGATAATGGTCTTAAGGCATAGTTCTATAAGGTCGATGATATGAACTCGTCTGATCTGCCGGTGAAATCATCATATGTTTCCCGTAGAATGCCGTTGATAACGTCAATGGCCTGTAGGGCCCGTGTGACTAGTGACGAATGACATCAAGCCAGATAGCGCGATCACCTCCTCTGCCTCTATATTGAGCCATTTTTTGCGTTTCAAAACTCGTCAGAAAACTTCACTGTCTACTCCGACTCCTTGGAAAGGAAACAATGTTGCCAGCATTGTCAATTTAACAACCCAATGTTAAGAAGTCACGCGAAGAGACGATGGAGGTGTTGGGGCCCTCCAGGTTCGTGGACATGCGGCCGGCCGTATAAGTGTACCAGCGCGGAATCAGTGGCGTTTTTGACCAGCACTCCTCCTTTCAGTACGGTGCCGCCTTCCTCAGTTCGTCGATCGTATTGTTTATGCTGTTCGTGAGCTTTTTGAACTCACAAGCAGTCGATAGAACATAAGATCCCTTGGACATCATGAAATTGTCTAGTTTGGTCCAATACGCAGCCAAATCCATGACGATTGCCGAATGCTACCTGTCGATATCGAGGGTAACAATATCGTTACTTGTTGTATCGTCAGATGTTCTTCATCTTCTGCTTTAGTAATCGTCATTTGGCGTTTGTGCTGAAGGCGTAATGTCGCCACATGTTCCTGCAAGCCATTTTCGCTCTTCTCAACTACGTTAAATTTCTGGGACGCCGGATCGGGGGATGCAATAAAGTCTTCAGTTTAAACATCTCTTGTGCTGAACTTTGTGTCATAGAACAGAACAGCTACGTGTTACTGAGTGAAGCGACTACAGGACGATTCATAAACCAGGACCCTATCAAGGCAGAACAAATCGAGATCCGCAGGAACAGACCTCCCACGACCTGATGATGTGAATGCACAAGTCTACTAAACTTCAGCATGAACATAGCACTTTCTATGAAATCGCCCGTTTTTTTGTTCGTCTTTATCTAGACTGCGCATCTGCGTGA